GGCAGGTGGAAAGGGGCCTGAGGGAGCCAACGAAAGGCAGGAACCCTTCGTGGGCGGGGGCGAGCAGGGGGGGATAGTGCTCAGAGTGTTTGCTAGATGCCTGGCTGAGCAGGCAAGTCAGAGCTGGTGAGGATGCTGCTTCTGAGGTGATCAGGAAGAGTCTTAGCTTCAGACTACTCTGTCAACAGTGCCATGAATAATGCCCCAAAAAGTAGCTCCCTGCCTAAGTGCTTTATGACTCTGGCCTGACTCCTTCGCATCTTTCTGTGTAGCTTCTACCAAACTGTTGTTATGCTGCTGTGTATGCTTTGTCTTAGGGCTCTGGTCATCCAAACATCCTGTTGGGGTGTGTGAAATTCACTTATCTATTATTTGCAGAAAAAGCAGCAAGCAGACCAGCACTTAAAATCTTAGGTCCGTTGCCTGACCTGAGCCTGAAAATAGTTTCTGCCTGGGTTAAATTTTAATACTGTAAAACCACATCATCAATGGATGATTTAAGGGCCTATCCCCACAATTTTACTATCTTCCTTCTTGGGCGCAACTCAGCCATTTGTCCCCACACTGTACTGCAGAGAGAGGACAAGTGTTCTACATTTTAAAAATTTGAGTTACTGAGTTTTATTTGTAAATATTTTTATAATGGGCAATTCAGAAGTTTTATCATTAGAAAATATGAAACAAAATGGAATAAGTCCAGGAAATTTGCCATTATTTTATGGTATAATAGAGTGATCAAGCAGCTTAACCCACCATTATGTCAGCTGTTTAAAAATTAACCTCCTTTTTACCAGTGAAATAGTTGAATATAAAGCAGCATAAAATTGTAATTTATTTTACACACTAAGGGGGAGGTCATTAGTATATCGCATTTGTGCATAGTATAATAATTCAATAAACCATGTTTCATTTGAGTGTATGTTTGAATATTAAAAGATGATGCATTTCTCTCTGCTGTGTGATCTAGTGGTTTGAAGGCAAGGCATGGGAAATAGGAGGATCATGCATCCTAATAGAACCTAAATTAGACTTGATGCTGTGTTTATCTGTAAATCCTCCAATCAGATTTGGTTTGAGCTAATATTTATGTGCAAGTTCTGTAGCACCATGGAATTTCTGCTTGCGCTGATAGAGATCCTCTCAATGATGGCATTAGTCTCTAAGGCAGCCTTTTATTTATATTTTTGTGCTGTACCAGAAGCTTTCAGAACACACAAATACCAAGCTCTAACCCAGAATAGAATGCAGTCTAAATGGACAAAGTGTGGGAATAAAAGGGATGTAATGCTGGAGTGACTGGAATGATAGGTGCATGTCTTACTAACTATACAGTTATTTATTTAAAACGTGCTTTAAATACTATTAGCCTCAATCACACACTTGTTTACTTCTCCCACCATTGTCTTTGTGTCTCTTCCCTGATGCTTATGTTGCATCGGGGCCTTCACTGTACTAATCTTTAAATCCGCTGCTTTTTCAGTTCCCTTCTTACAACCGAGCTTTAGTGTGACACCTTCAAGAAATCTGCCAAGTAGTGATGCCCAAGTCAGAGATTAAAAAAAAAAGCAATATGTTAAATGATACAGTATGATCAAGTTGTGTAGTTGGCTGTATAATTGCATGATCTGATTACTGGTACTCTCATCCTCTGTCCTCACCTCTTTGAATAAGAAAGGAATGGCAAACAGAAATTCTGGTAGAGTAGTCTTTATTTCCTGGTCCCACTTATGTGACACCAGTCATTCTTACATACCACCAGTTAATAAACAGTCCAATTAATAAAATTCAGATTGACTCTGTAAAGTTAGAGTAGGTGATGCTTTCCCTGGGCAAATGAACAATTTTGTGCCTGTAATGGATTCTGTCAGTATATGCTATCTCTAAACATATTACTTTGTGATAATAAAGCCTTTTATTGGGTTGAAAACAATAACTTTCAGAAGTGGCCTGTAGGATATGCCACCAGGAGGCTTATTAGCCTCTTCAAGATGCTTAGAATGCTCCTGATAGTACTCCTGTTCTGACAGAAATAATTCAGCTTCACCTAGTGAGTGAAAAACATGGGAAGACACAGAAACCTATTGTATGCCTTGAATTTTATTTAGATGTCTTCTGTTAGCTATGACTCTGATGGATGGTTATGATGTATGATCCAGGTACTAATGATACAACATATCTTGGCAGGTTGCCATCCACTTTGGAATCTGGGCATTACCTACCACATGCAGTGGGGATGAAGATAATCGTTCTTATTCCCATCTAACATTCTGATCCAGATTCCTTGAATGTAACTACTTCAGAGTTAATAGGCTCAAGAAACATGTTGGATATTGGTGCTAAGGTTTTATGCTTAGGTGATCCTACTAAAGTACTCCAAAGTAGCCTGCAGTATTCTACAATACTAAATATGGTTCCCTGGATTCCACCTATGCTTTTAAATCTTTTTGTTGTTGTTTGTACTGATTCTTCTGCTAATGGTTTGCCTGTCATTTTTAAGGGCTTGGCTTGTTCTTCAGCTGATAATTATTGTGGGCATTGCAACCCATATAGTTAAGCTGCCTAACACTATCAGTTTTAAAAGATAGGAAATGTGTGTGCCACCTTCATTCTGCTCCTTATGTTATATGCATTATGTTGTGATTTTTTAATGGTGTCATGCTATTTTTCTGCAAGATCCTCGCATACAGTGTTTGTGATGGAGGGTGATCAGGAATGAGGCAGCTGCATTCAATGTATGACCTTTGCCTCGTTTACTGCTTGCCATCAAAACCTTGTACTGAATATAGAATTAACTATTCCCTCATGGCCTTTACTGGAGCACTCAGCACTGTAGATACTTTTGTGGTGCACTTAGAATCTCTCCATCTAGCAGAAATTCATAGTATTCTCCCTATTTTATAGATGGGGAAATGGAGGTAGAGACTTATCTGATGACATACATTTAATCATTGGCAGAGGCAGAATTAGAATTCAGAATCCCCTTTCTGTCTGTGCTAATATATTACTATCAAATACTAAGCATTCACGGCTTGCATTGATTTCAGTAGCAGCCATTGTGACTGTTCATTATTTTTGCATATCAGACCCCCCACGCATGTTAAGTTGAATGCTCACAGAATAACTCAGTTAGTGACCACGTACTAAATTTTTTGTTTAAATGACTTAGAAAACAAATACTTAGTTTCATCTGGCAAAAATTTATTTGCTTCACTTGCTGATTTTAGAGTTGCTTGGAGATAAATAGGCTATGATCTGTGGTTGGAGAAAGCCATTGAAGAAGTGCTGGAGCCACTAAGGCAGTTAAATACCAGTCTCCTTGTACAAGAGCAAGATGCCAGCCTTTTTTAAATAGTTTATGGTTCGTCCCTTACTCAAGGCTCCACCTCTTGAAGCTGACAGCATCTTCACTTACTGTTGTATTCCAATTCTTACCCTTCTGAGGATGGTGAATTCATTTGGTGAACTTGGACAAGTAATCAAACACCACTTCCTGCAACTCCCATTGGCTGTGTATGGTGATCTGTGGTGAACGGGAGCTTCAAGTGGTCATATCTGCAGAGTAGGGATGTAATTGACTATACTATTAGCTTTACTTTTGCTTATCAGTTAATGCCATAGAATACATGCATTTCCCCTTTCCCTCCTCCCCCTTGCCAGTAATTTTTTTAGCAGTTTGGCCAGCAGTCCAGCTCAGTCCTGTCTTGTGCCAGGTCGGAAACCTACCCCGGCTACAGATCTGCATTTAAAGTGTATTAGGAGCTGGGTGGGCAGCCAAACCCAAAAGGACACTGAACTGCCGATTCCCCTTTCAGCAAGAAAAATTTCCAGAATATGCACTTGGAACGAGCGAACAATGTCGAAGGTAGGTAAGACAGCCCAGGTAGTAAGAGAAATGAACAAGTACAAGCTAAACATCATGGAAATTAGTGAGACAAGATGGGTACAGTCAAGTTTCATCAGGGGAAATAGTGCTCTACTCGGGCCATGAAGAGGAAAATGCATCACATATGGAGGGGGTTGCACTCCTGCTGTCACCAGAGGCACATAAAGCTCTTATAGCATGGGAACCTACAGGGTCAAAAAGTATCCTTGCAACATTCAGGACAATAAACAGGAAAATTAATATGTACGTCATTCAGTGTTATGCACTGACAAATGATAAAGTGGGATCAATAAAAGAATTTTATAACAGACTACAGCATGTGCTTGACAAGACAAAACCAGGAGATATCATTGTAGTCCTAGGCAATTTTAATGCCAAAGTAGGAGATGACAACACAGGATATGAAGAGACCATGGGGAAGCTTGGGCTAGGTGTTATGAATGAAAATGGGGAAATGTTTGCTAACTTTTGTGCAGTTAACCTTATCATAGGAGAAAGTATTTTTCCACATAAGAACATTTATAAAGCAACATGGATATCCCCTGGTCATCAAACACAGAATCACATCGACCACTTCTGCATTAATCGACAATTTAGACAATACTTACAGGATACAGAGGAACTGATGTGGCCTCATATCACCATCTACCGATGGCCAAATTGAAGCTAAAATTATGAAAGAACAGGACAATACAAAACTATAGACCATGTTATAATGTGGGATTTTTAAAAGACCAGGTAAAGAAAGAAGTGTTCTGTGTCACACTTAGCAATAAATATCAAGCAATGGAACATCTAGATAAAAATTTAAGCATTGACAGCCAGTGGCAACGAATAAAAGATGCCTGGATCAGTACATGTGAAGAAGTCTTAGGCAAAAAGGAATGTCAGCACAGACAGTGGATATCAGTGGAAACACTTAGGAGGATCGAAGATAGGTGAGAGAAGAAAGTATTCTTACATAATAGTAAAACCAGAGCTGCCAAAATTATAGCCCAAGAGAACTATACAAATGCAAACAAAGGGATTAAGAAGACCATTAGAGCAGATAAGAAAAATTATATTGACAACGTGGCAAAAGAAGCTGAGGAAGCATCAGTTACAGGAAATATGAAAGGTCTGTATGATTCAACCAAGAAACTCCCAGGAAAATATTTGCAACATAACTGACCCATCAAGGATAAAATGGGGGAAAACATTACAAACGTAGAAAACCAGGTGGAAAGATGGGTAGAACATTTTAGTGAACTTCTAAACAGACCA